AAAAAAAAAAAAGACAATGATTACAAGTAAGAAAAATTTTGGTCTTTGACACTAGTTGTAGGACCTAAAATAAAAAAATAAAAATAAAAGAAAGAAAAAGTATGTGCCAACTATGCTCACGATAGGACATGTCCACAGCCCTACCCAGAGCACATGGGATCACTATGCTGAAGTATAAGCAGTGCCATTGTTTCAAGGACAAGAAAAGACAACATAAAATAGAATCCAACCCAAAATAATACTGGTGGGCAGGGACAGATGTATCTTACGTTTCAGATGATTTCCCATACATCTAAAGATCCCTGTGCGTGGTGGAATGCTCTGCTCCAAACCTAAAGGTCAGTCGATGGTTTGAACCCAGCAGGCTTTCTGTGGGAAAGAGATGCAGCAGCGTCCTCCCATGCTACAGGGCAGTTCTCGTCTGGTCCCCGGAGTCAGAATTGACTCGATGGCTTGCAAGCATTCCTGCCGCTGGATGAGGATGAGCATGGAATCGCGGAAAAAAGGATGTAGTTGTTCCGGTGAATATCTGTATCTGGACATGTTATCTTAATTTCCCCCTCTATTTTTGGAATATACTAATTGCATATACTTAAAATTCCTCAATAACTCTAAATCACCCATGTGTCTATTTCTGGTCTATTTAATCTTGTCCATTGTTCTCTTATAATTTTATATTGAAACCTGGACATTGTGTTGAACAATTGGAGAGGTTCCAAAGGATGTTAGTGCTCTCCAGAGAAAGTTCTGCCTTATTTTTCTTTCTCAGGAAGTTTGGGAGACTGGTCATCTGAATTTATTAACGCTCAATCTTTGTTATGCAATAGAATCACCTGAAGAAACAATAAAAAATATAGAAGCACGAGCTTTTTGAAGTAATGTGGGGCCTGAAACCCTGTGTTTCTTCAGGTGATTCATATATGCTTTAGATGCAGTGGTTCTCAACCTTCCTAATGCCATGACCCTTGAATACAGTTCCTCATGTTGTGGTGACCCCCTCTCCCCAACCATAACATTATTCTCGTTGCTACTTCATAACTGTAATTTTGCTACTGTTATGCAGGATGTATTTTCATTGTTACAAATTGAACATAATGAAAACAGTGATTAATCACAAAACCAATGTGTAATTATATAGTGTGAAAGATTTATTTCTAATGACAAATAAATGAAATTTTGTCTTGAAGCATGGTGTAGCGTCGGTAACAGTCTTCACGCTGGGTACTTGTTCGTGGGCGTGTCTGCATGAGGGCGGACCCACCTGAAGACAGACAGAGAAGCTGTGTCTCGGTTCCTAAGACCATCAGAAAGATGTGTTTTCCAATGGTCTTAGACGACCCCTGTGAAAGGGTTGTTTGACCTCCAAAGGGGTCGCAACACACAGGTTGAGAACCTCTGTCTTAGAGTGTAACCTCCGCTTAGTTTCAGTTGAGAGTTTGAGATATTTATTGGAATCCTATTTATAGGTTCTATTGAGTAGTGGTTATGTGTTGACCCTCTTCACTGTAAGGTCGACAGTTTAAAACCACCATAGGTTCCATGGGAGAAAGATGGGACCTTATAATCCTGTAAAGAGTTAGTTTCAGAAGCAGTGGCCCTAAGTTCTGTAGGGTCACTAGGATTCAGAATTAGCGCAATGACAAGGAGTTTGGTTTTTGCTTTTTTTTTTGAGCATAAATATCTTGTGGCTCTGAGGTCTGACAAAACTCATCTGCATTTCTAAGCTGAAGCTCCAGGCTTCTGGAGTATCTTTGCAACATAGCTCCACAATATGAGAAATACATGAAGAAAAATTAAGTAGAATATTTGCTCAACTTTTGGACCTTCATTTTTTCCTGACTTTTAGATTCTCGCCATTCTAATTTTTGCTCCTTCAAAGCCAACACTACCTAAATATTTGATGTTTTCCCTTGTCGTGTCTTTTGGTGGCAGCCCTTTGTCTGGGCCTATTTTCAGTATCCTAGTTCTTGAACCTAGCTTAGAAATGCCGGATGCTCCAGGGAAAAGCACCATTGTTTGGTGTTACCTCACTCACCACACAGCATGGTTTTCCCTTCTCTGGTATTATTTCCCCTTAATTTCCCATTCTCTCCAAGTTCGCTAATACTTGTAAACAGAACTACAACAAAATAAAACATGGCTTTTAATTTTCAACAGCAGCATTGGCATGCCACAAACCACCCATCATTCAAGGATGCACAAGTAAAATTTGAAAACTGGAGAACCAATCATGGCTTAGCAATTGTTTTCTCTTTTCTTTCAGGAAAAACATAAACAAGAATTGGAAGACATGAGAAAAGCTGGGCACGACGCTCTCAGCATTATTGTGGATGAATATAAGGTAGAGAGTTAACATTCTGTCTATAGTACTTGGTTATTTTTAACCTTGGATCATGCCCATAAAATTTTAATACACATAGACAAGGACAAACATACATAAATTACAGAATTATACTGTAGTTTTGTTTTGTTATAGAATTCCTTTCAACTTACCAATAAGTGTTCACTGAACATTCTTTGTGGATTACAAAAAGTAATATTCAATGTTACTGTATATTTTAGAAGCTTATAAATTATTTGAAAATAGGATTGGTAGGTGAATAAGTATAAGAACAAAAAATAACAAAATTACATGCTACACTAGGGGATAAAGTAAAATGTAATCACTCATTTGAAATATATTTATCTCTTCCCTTCTTTTTACTGACTACCTTTTCTGCCCTCTTTCTTCTGCTGTTCTCTTCAAACTCCTCTTTTTCATTTCTTTTTGCTTCTTAAATAAATTGAGTAGTTTGGCTTCATTTTAATAATAGCAACAATTATGATAAATGTCAGTATCATTGATATCCATAGTTTTTTAAAAAATTGAATCTGTAAATACCTGAACATTAAAGTCAAATTGAGATCTTAGAGAAAGTATTTTTTTCCCTCCTAAACTTGATGTTATTTTTTTTCCTTTTCTTTTTAAAAAATAATCACATTGGAAGAATACATTCCCATTGAAATAAAATTTAAACAGTTCTCCACAGGAGTAAGCACTGCTGGAAGTTTGATGTACATCCTTGTAGATGGTTTTTATCCATACGTACATATATATGTTATTTTTTTCCAAAAGGAAGACCCTCGATGAGATGGATTGACACAGAGTGACTACAACAATGGGTACAAATATATGAGTAATTGTGAGGGTGGTGCAGGACAGGGCACTGTTTCTTTTTGTTTTACCTAGGGTCACTGGGAGTCAACTGACTTGAACAGTACCTGTGTTAGTCCAGGTTGAGATAGAGAAACAAATCCAGGAACACTCAGATATATGTAACAGAGAACTTTATATCAAAGAGTAATTATATATTAAGAAAACACCCCAGCCCAATCCATATCAAGCCCGTAAGTCCTATATTAGCCCATATGTTCGGTACTAGTCTGTAAATTCCTCTTCAGACTCACACAACATAGGCAATGATGCCAAGTGCAGGAAGATCACAGGTCAATGGGTGGAATGTCTTGTGGATCCAGTGGCAGTGGAAGCATCTTAGCGCTGGTGTGGGTCTCCATGTGGCTCCTCTAGCTCCAAGGCTCTGGCTGCCATCAGCTGTCTCCATATGGCTTGCCAACAGGAATGTCTTGCAGGGTGATGAAGCAGAGAGAGCATGTCTCACCTCCATTGAACTATTTATCTCCATAGTGCCTCCAACTGAGGTCATCAAGCTTCAACCTGATTGACAGGCTAAACTCCACCCCTTCACAAGTTGACAGTAGATTCTGTAACTGCCACCATACCTAACAACAATAATAAAATGTTAATACAATCATGTGTAGCTTGATATTCATTCATGAAATGTTTTATTCATTTTTTTCTCTTGTTACTCCATACATTTACTCAATGTAATTTTCACATCGGTATCAACTTGTCTTACTGATATTTCTGTTCATTGTTGATAGGTGCCATTGAGTCAGTTCCAACGCATGGTGTCCTATGTATCATAGTCCGCAACATTGCCTAAACCTGTACCATCCTCACAATCTCTGTTATGTTTGAACTCATTTTTACCCCAATTATGTAGATCCATCTACCTGAGTATCTTCTTTTTTGCCAACCTACCTTACCTTGAGACATCCTTCATTCAAAGGAACATTCTGGCTCTACTTCTTACATGACAGATTTGTTTGTTCTTTTGGCAGTCCGTGATACTGTCACTATTAAGTATCATAACTTAAATGCATCAATTCTTCTCTGGTTTTCTTTATTCATCATCCAGCTTCCACATGGATATAAGTTGATTGAAATTACTACAGTTTGGGTTCAGGCACACCTAAGACTTTGAAGTAACATCTTTGCTCTTGAAAATTTTAAAGGGCTCTTGTACAGCAGATTTACACAAAGCAGTGCATTACTTGATTTCTTGACTACTGTTTCCATGACTACTATTTGACTGTCAGTTTGTCATACTGTGGTGGCTTGGGTATTTCTGTAATATTAGAATATGTGGCACTGGTATTTCAAATACCTACAGGATCACCCAAAGTGACAAATTTCGGAGCTTCCAGAGTAAGAACAGACAATGAAGAAGGATTCAGCTGCTCACTTTGAAAGAAGAAGCCACTTAAAACTTTATATGTAACTTGTTTATGCCAAGAAATTTGGAAGACAGCTAATTAGTCAACTGACTGGAAGTGATCTATATTTGTGCCCATTCCAAATAAAGGTGACCCAATAGAATGCTCAAACTACAGAACAATATTACTGATATTGCACACAAGTAAAATTTTGCTGAAAATTATCCAACAACTATTACAGCAGTACATTGACAGGGAACTTCCCGAAATTTGGGCCAGATTGAGAAGAGGACATGGGACAAAGGATATCATTGCTGACATCAGATGGATCATAGCTCAAAGCAGGTAGCACCAGAAAGATGATTTCTTGTGTTTTATTGACTATGCCAAGCATTTGACTGTGTGAACCATAATAAAGTGTGAATAACTTTGAGATGAATAGGAATTCCAGAACACTTCATTGTATCCATGAGGACCTTGTACATAAATTATAAGGCAGTTGTGTGAACAGAACCAAGGAATACTGCATGGCTTAAAATCAGGAAAGGTGTGCTTCAGGGTTGTATCTGGTTACCATACTTGTTCAATCTGCATGCTGAGCAAATCATCAGAGAACCTGGATTACAAGAAAAAGAATGTGGTATCAGGATTGGAGTAAGGCTTATTAACAACCTACGATATGCAGATGACGTAATCTTGTTTGGTGAAATTGAGAAGGATCTGAAGATCAAGGATTGCAGCCTTCAATATGGCTTATAACTCAATGTAAAGAAGACAAAACAGAGCAATAGGTTACATCATGATAAAAGGAGAAAAGGCCGAAGTTAGCCAGGAATTGTCTTACTTGGATCTGCCACAAATGCTCATAGAAGGAGCAGTCGAGAGGTCAGATGATGAAATGCATTAGGTAGATTTGCTACACAAGACTTTTTAGGGTAGTGAAAAACAAAGATATTGCTTTGAGAACTAAGGTGCACCTGATTGAAGCCATGGTATTTTCAGTTGCTTCATATCCGTGTGAAAGTTGGACATTGAATAAGGAAGACTGAGGAAGAATCAATGCGTTTGAATTATGGTACTGGAGAAGAATATTGAAAGTACCATGGACTGCTATAAGGACAAAGCAGTTTGTCTTGCAAGATATATGACCAGAGTGCTCCTTAAAGGCAAGAATGGCAAAACAGTCTTTCATACTTTGGCCATGTTGTCAGGAGAGACCAGTTCCTGGAGAAGGACGTCTTGTTTGGTAAAGTGGAGGGGTGGTGAAAAAGAGGAGACTCCCAGGGAGCTGAATTGACATCCGCACTGTAACAATCAGCTCGTGCATAGGAATAAGGATAAGGATGGCGCAGGACCTGGCGACATTTCATTTTGTTGTGCATAGCGTTGCTGTGGATCGGAACTGACTTGATGGCACATCAAATCAGGTTATATGGGTGTTGATTGTGGTTTCAAGTAGAATAAAATCCTTGAAAATTTGGATATTTTCTGTTTATCAAAATGTTGTCTATTGGTCCAGTTGCGAGTATTTTGGTTTTCCTTACATTGAGTGGAAATCCATACTGAAAGCCATGTCTTTGATCTTTATCAGTAAGTGCCTTAAATCCTTTTGATTTCATCAAGCAAAACCATGCCATCTATGTATCACAGACTGTTAATAAGCTTTCCTCGGATCCTACTACCATGTTCTTCATGTAATCCAGCTCCTCAGATGATTTCTTAGCATACAGAGTGAATGAATATGGTGAAAGGATACAACCTTGATGAGCACCATTCCTTATGCAATACCCCCTTTTCCTATTTGCATTACTGCCTCCTTTTTAAAGTATACATATCTCATGAGCACAGTTAAGTCTGTAATTCTGATGACTTGAAATGTTATCTATAGTTTGTTATGATCCATACAGTTTTATGCCTTTGCAAAGTCAATAAAACCCAAGTAAATACATTTCTGGTATTTTCTACTTCCATCCGAAATTACCTTATATAATGAGGTATATTACATGTCCTCTTCGGAATCCAGCTCACATTTTTGGCAAATCCTTGATGTACTTCTGCAACTGTTTTAAAAAATTATCTTAAGCACAATTTTACTTGCATGTGATATGTACATTATTCTGTGAAAGTTTTTACATTCTGTTTATTGACCTTTCTTTGGAATGGGCACACGTATGGATGTCTTACATATATATATATATGTAATCATTTTATTAAGGCTCTTAAAACTAATATAACAATCCATACATTCAATTGTATAAAGCATATTTGTACATATGTTGCTATCATTTTTTAAACATTTGCTTTCTATTTGAGCCCTTGGTATCAATTTCTCTTTTTTCCCCTCCCTCCCCCCTCTTCCCACCCTCGTGACCCCTTGATAAATTATAAATTATTATTTTCATATCTTACACCAACCACTGTCTTCCTTCACCCAAGTTTCTGTTGTTCGCCCCCCTGGGTGTGTGTGGTTGTTATGTGTGGATCTTTGTGATCGGTTCCCGCTTCGTCCCCTCCTCCTCCCACCTTCTCTTAACCCTCCTGGTATCGCTACTTCCATTTTGGTTCCTGAGGGTTTTATCGGACCTGGATTCCTCTCTAATCTGAGCCAATACCTATTCATGTAGCAGAAGATCATTATTAATCCTCCAAGTGTTGCCCTTGTTTCTCTGGTCATCCTATTGTTGATCTCCAGCTTTTTGCTGTGGTGGTCTGAGAGGGACGTGTGAGCATGCTCTATGTGTTTGAATTTACTCAGGCTCGACTTGTGTCCCAGCATGTAGTCTA